TTCCCTAACACGCAGGAGTTGGAGCAAGAGAGATCAGAGGCTGCTCAGCGAGAAAGACAGACGGTCCGAGACAGACATCGGGAAGCTATGAGACCTGGTGGTAGATGGCTGTTTCGCGATGAGTAGATTTGGAAGAATGGGGATCGTTGTACTGTAAGGATATTGAGCGTATATCTTTTGTCTTTGTGAAGTTCAGGTATCAAGGTTACAGGGTGGGATATGAAGCATTGGTACAGGTACAAGGAGTAAACTGGATCATAATTGAATATTTATAGCTTAGCCGTTATCATCATGGCTTGAGTTATGTTGAGCTTACTTAGATGGCCCCCTCGCTCGAGCCAACGGGTAGTTCCTGTGATGAGGTTGAGAGTTCAAAAGAGGCTTCAACCCCAGCGCACAAAGATAAAGTAAACACATGGGCAATATACTCATTACCCTCACCATTGCCTGACATATTGCTATCTAATGATCTTAGCCAGGATGTTGATATTGGAGAGCGATGCCGGGGCTTGGCCTTGAGTGAGTGGATCCGAGTCCCCTCGTTTGGAGCCCAGTCGCTTTTCTGCCTCAGACAGCAACATTTGCCCCCAACCCAGTCAATGAACCTTGTGCTTTTAGTTACCGGGCTTGTGCAGTGCGTGCTGCTGTCGTGCGTGCCCTCCACTGCGTTGCGGCTTGAGTTTGTCAGTGCTCATAGGTCATAGCCATAGCCAATATCAGCCGCCCGCTGCAGAAGCCCGCGCCTTAGGTTGAGGTGGATAATTTTATTCCACACTGAACGGACTGACCTCCGTTTTACGCTACCACTCACTACCTCACCTACCTTACCTACCATCGCAACGCAACGCAACGGCAAGCGTCCCCCGTCCGTTTTGCCTGACGCAATTCGGCAAATCCTCTCCCTCTCCCTCATCCTCTCTCTCAGTGCGTCTACTCTTCGGCTTCGACTGCGCTCATTGAAACAAGTCATTCAATTTTCATTTCGGATTTCTTTGTTACGTTTCGTTTTCCATCCTTTGTTTGTGCGGCTTTATTGGCTTGAGTCTGCCGCCTCTGTTCACCCGTGCTGACTTGACAAATCCACCCATCAACCTACTTTTTTGCGGTCAACGTACGTTAGGCCGCCCACAGCTCGTGTCGCGTCGCAAACGCCTTCGCCGTATCGACCCGAGAAACTTCGTCAAACTGAAGCCCGCCGTTTACGATTCCTGCACCGTCCGCGAGAGGAGGCTCACACGCTCTTCACACGGGTGTCGCATCAACTGGGCGACTCCCGTCCTCACTCAATCCCCAAGCCGGCACGATGAGTAACCGCCATCTGCCGGCTGGGCAGAATATACAGGGAGGAACTCACGGCGCCGATATGGTCGGCGGTCCTGGAGCGCCTCGTCGGAGGCAGCCTCCTCCCTATGTTCCGTACCAGCAACACCACCAGCAGCACATGAATGCTATGTATCCTAACTACATGCCCTACAACCAGCCGTACTACGGTTATCAGCCACATTACCAGGGTCAACACTACCAGAACGCACAGTATCCGAACGCGCAGTATCAAGGTGGACAGTATCAGGCTGGACAGTATCAGAATGGTCAATACCCAGCCGCACAGTATCAAAATGCTGGAATGCATTCTCCTGGATATGTGCCCTACCAGAACTTCGCACGATCACCGCCTGCTATGCCTCAGTACGTTCCCATGTCTGGCGTCAGCGTTCCTCCGAGCTATACTCCTCGACCAGCTCAGCAACAGTCACCTGCCTTGTCGAATCCCTACCAACCTCCGGCTGCGGCTCCAATCCCGCCCCAAACTCCGACCTCCACCCACTCGTCACAGATGATTCCTCCTCCAACTCCCCCGGTCCCCCAGGAGACTAAGCCAGTTGCTCCCGCTCCTGCTGCGCCTGTCGAGCCTGCCGAGCCGACCAGGGCGCCTTCGCCCCCTCCCGCTCCCATGGAACCCTTCCGTGCACCTGTAAGTTGATAGAACGATAGCAGAATCTTACTCAAACTGACCCTATCAGCTACCATGGTCATCTCACCCCGATTTCAAGTTCCCTGCTAGGGCCACAAAATCGAGAAGACGGAGAAGGCATCTCAATGCTGACAGTGAAGCTTTATCTTTACCAGTTGAACAGCAACAAGCGGCCACAGAGCATGCCAATGCTCCCGAAGCTAATGCCACCGAGCAGTCGGTTGCAGTTCTCCCAGCCGCTTCCTCGGCTGCCCCCTCTGAGACGGCCGAAGCAAAGGCTGCCGATTCTCCCGTCTCTCCTGTCCAGCAACGATCTCGCACCAACACTGCTACCAGCGCTACCTCGACTGCGACGAACCGCCCTGCCGCTCGTTCCTCCACCGTGCCTGCCCCAGCTATTCCTTCTCTCCCTAAGGCCAGCCCTAAGGAGGCCAAGCCAGTGCGTGCTGAAAAGCCGGCAAACGGCGATATAGCCCCTGAGACTGCTCATGAGACGTCGACGAAAGCTGAGGCCCTCGAGAAGGGGGCCCCTGAGAAGCCTGCTGAACCTGAGCCTGCCGCCGAACCTGCCCCTGCCGTTAAAGCTGCACCTGCAAACTGGGCTGACCTTTTGAAGAAGCCTGCTGCTGCTACTGCTCCTGGGAAAGCGAATGCGGTTAATGGTACTGCCTCTCCTAGTACTCCGGTCAATGGCCATAGTACTGATGGTGCTGTTGGAGCCACCAACGGCTCTGCCTCCAGCTTTTCTAAAGCCAACGCAAGCTCTGTTGCGGAGGCTATTCACTCGTTCCACGTTGGTCTCGCCGACCAAGTTGCTTTTCTCGAGCCTCGCGGTCTGATCAACACTGGGAACATGTGTTATATGAACTCTGTATGTCTCGATGCCTTCTTCGGTCACACTATTAAGCTTACCAATGCCAGGTATTGCAAGTTTTGATGTTTTGTCTTCCCTTTTATGATTTCCTCAGCCAGATCAGCAAGCGTGCTGTTCACAGCTTCAAGAGTGATACTCCTCTTATCGATGCTATGTAAGTTGTGCATCCATGCTAAGTTCTTTGACTCCAAACACTGACAGAATTTTGCAAGGATTATGTTTATGCATGAATTCAAGACCATCAAGTCTGCTGCTAGCATTGAATCTCTGCGAACTACTCTCAAGAATGAGGAATTGGAGCGCTATGGTGATCCTTTCACCCCTGAATTCGTTTACGAAGCCATTAGACAGCTTCCAAGATTCGCCAGTATGAGGGTATGTTGTTCTTGGCCGCTTACAATATTCACGAACTTCCACTAACTGGTTATAGCGAGGTCATCAGCAAGATGCTGAGGAATTCCTCGGCTTCCTATTGCAGTCTCTTGATGACGAGTGTACTTCAGTCCTCAAGAACTCCGCACTACCTGACCAAGAACGTAGGGCCAGTTCTGGTTCTGGTGCTGGTGGTGAAGATTGGCTCGAAGTTGGCAGAAAGCAAAAGGCCGCCGTTTCTCGATCATCGGGGCCTAACTCTTTCAGCCCCATCTCGAGGATTTTTGGTGGTTCATTAAGGTCAGAGTTTCGTGTACCAGGCTTGAAGGACTCTATCACCACTGAACCTTATCAGCCCCTTCAGCTGGATATTGGATCTCCTGACGTGCGAAATGTTGTAGACGCTCTACGTGGTCTTACTCGTCCGGAGCGTCTTCAGGGAGACTTCAACTCACCTCGTGGCAAGGATGTCACGGCCACTAAGCAAGTTTTCATTGACACACTGCCTCCCGTCCTCATATTGCATCTCAAGCGCTTCCAGTTTGATGCAGAAGGTAATGGGACCGTCAAAATTTGGAAGAAGATCGGCTACCCCCTGGAGCTTGAGATACCTCGTGAAGCCTTGTCGCGGCAGAAACGCCAGACGTACGGTGACGACGGCATGCCCAAGTATAGGTTGATCAGCGTTGTATACCACCATGGAAAGAACGCCAGCGGTGGACATTATACCGTTGATGTTCGACGTCAAGAAGGACGCGAGTGGATTCGCATCGACGACACTGTCATCCGCAGGGTCCGAAGTGAGGATGTTGCCGAGGGCGGCGAGGAGGAAGAGATCAAAGACAATCGCAAGGACGGTCAATCATCTGGTTCTGCTGGAAACCGGTTCGGAGCGGTTCTCGATGAGGATGCTGGAGATGATGACGGCTGGAGCAAGGTCACAAGCCCTGCCGGAGGAGCGAAGAAATGGAGCAGCGTTGCCAATGGTACTAGTAACGGCAGTACCAAGGCCAAGCAGGTCAAGGACAACATCAAGGATAACAAGGTTGCCTACCTGCTCTTCTACCAGCGAGTGTAAGGAGTTAATCACCTTTGCCTATTCACTATCTTATCACACTCACTATGCCGCCATGTTGAGCATTGATCATGGAGGGCGTTATGTTACGACTTAACACGAGCTTAACGGCCATATTTGGATTGGAAAAGCAGCATTTTCAGACGGAGTCGCTTGTTGGGAGGTGAAAAACTAGGGAAAAGCTGCATGTCGGGGATATTCAGTATCCAGCTTGATGCTCGGCGTATGGCGTCGAGGAAGGGATACCTAAGGATTGGACTGGAAAAGAAGAGCGGCTGGTGACATGATGCCTGTGAACGGCTGATCATCCAGCGTATATAGGATCCGTGTAAGCTTGGGACCTCTGGATGAAGCGGTATCTCAGCATCTTCTGTTAGAGTTCCTTGGACAGCGACACAAGAGCTGCCTGGAGATGAACTTCTCGCGAGGTCATTCTCAGCGGATACATTGTAAATTACAAAATTGTGCATGAGACAAGTTTTATAAAATATTCACATGCGTACAATGATTTTTAGGGTCATGACGATATGTGCAAAATGAGTCAAGTCAAGTCAGACGACGTCTATACGTAGGATACACGGGAACTGTCTAGTCCGTTGAGGTGTGGCCACCATTCTTCTAGGAGGCGCCAATTCCCTCTCAACCACCGTCCTGCTACTATCAACCTCTCTCCCTTCTGATCTCCCAGCCCGAGACCCAATAATGATTTAGTGGTTTCGGACGACGGCGATGGAGTCGAGCTCGTTCTTCTCGGCCTTCTCAGAGGCGACCTCCTCCATCAGGGGCTGGAGGTAAGGCTTGTCCTGTAGAGCGTGATGAGTTAGTCGATGATATTCTATCCATTCGTGATATCTCGGGATCGTGAACTCTTGTTTGCCGAGGAGGACCCGGGCAGAGAGATTCGATCGCAGGGTGTCGTCATTCATACCGTAGCGGCGGTGATCCACTGGTCCTTGGGGAGAAGCTTGTGCTGGTAACTGCACTGAACAGCACGTCGGATGCGGTAGATGCGCTCGTAAGACTCGACGTTGGAGAGACGCTTGAGGGCCTTCTGGGCAACCTCGTTCTCCTCCTCGAGAAGATCATCATATCTATATCAACCAATTGAAGACTCCGGTCAGCCAAAAGTTTCCGCAAGTATCGCCAATTCCAACAATTCGAGGTCCAATTGGCGTTCGCAGGGAGGGGAGATCGCATACTTGAGGCCCAGCTGGCGGTAACCGGCGGCGTTGACGTACCAGGTAGCGGCGGGCTTGAAGAGGCGGGCGAGCCACGGCCTGCGGAGGATGAAGGGGGCGAGCGAGTACTTCATTTTGGAGGAGGATCGATTGACACGTTCCGAGGCTTGGGGTTGGAATTCGTGGTTGTCGTCGTCGTCGTTTCGTCGGAAATGGCGCGAATTGGGGATGGGCTGAGCGAGCAATTGCAAAACTTCCTGGGAGAGCTCGGGACGTCACGTGGTCTTGATGACCATTCCTTTGTCGTTCTCTGGCTGGCTTACAAGGTTCCGATCGGGCAGAAGGACCCCAAAAAACGATGACTAAGGTTATATGTGGCGTTTGAGATTAGATTGTGATTTGTGGCACAGAGTGTGGCGGGTGAGCACATGGCTTTTAGAATGACGATGTGGGGGTCCCTTGAAATGACCCTGTCCCGTGGGAAACCGGTTCGGGATGAAACGGTCAATTCGTTGTATGAACATGTGTAAATGAAGTATGAGTTTGTGACTGTCAGTGTGTCTTTCATGTTAGCTAAACACTTGATCTCGCGTATAGAATAAGTAGTCACACCCATCTCATGCCTCGGATAGTATCATCCTGCACCTCAAGCCTCGGAATACAACCGCCAACGTCGTCATCCCACGTCGAGCAAGGGTTCAAGATCGGTATCGGAGCTTGTCCTCGAGATACCGGGCTTTGCACGGAACTTGCAGCTGCCAATGCTCGTGCTCTCATGCCATATGCAATCATGTTGCCCTTCCCATTTTGTGTATATCTCTCTTGCTCATAAAACTATCTATTTTTCTCTAGTGTCTGTTAGTTCAAACTGCGTCATTTTCATTTCGACTGTGAAGCTATCTATTGTCTCCGCTAATACCGGCTTGCAGCGGTGCAAAAAAAAGATGACAAGCCCGGATTAGAAGAGAAATTCTGCAAGATAACCAACATGATAGCGTTTTGTGCCCTGGAATTATAGTTCGGCATTTTGTTGAACAAGCATTCAGCGGACTCCATATCAACAAAAAAAACACAGAAACAAACCCTGCAGGTGCTGTTGTGGTGCAGTTATAGTGGGTTGTAGTGCACATAGGGCGCCCTCCAGTTGATCAACCGCCCGCCCCGTCCAGTGCTGGCCCTGTCGTTCCCTCCGCCGTCGCCCGCGCTGCTTTCTCCATCCGCTCCGTTTCGCTATCGGGGAAACTTGATTCTTCTTTCCCTCTACTTCCTCTCACTTATTCTAACTTCATACAACTCTTTTCTCTCTATCATCCCAACCTCTTTTTTCGTCCTTTTTCCGCCCTCACTCCCAGCTTCAGCTCCCAACTCCCACTGGTTTCTCTGGTCCCCAGGCTATCGCTTTTTTCGAGTTTGTAAGTCAATGGCCGGCGCCATTCGCTGAGTGGGAAGCGGTCGGTCACGGCGCGTGGGAGCGTTCCCCCGCAGTACCTTCGTACCGGCTGCGAGGTTCCAACAGCAGCAGACGTCAGTTCCTCTCAACAGGCGGAACTTTTTGATTTTTTGGGGGCGGAATCGGCTTGGGACATTGAGGGATCACTTTGATAGCGGATTACTAGGTTGCGAATAATCCACGGCCCGTAGGACTTGTCGTAGGGTTGATCCCGGCTCCCGAAATACATCAACTTGACGTCTGCGCCGGACCGGGAGACAAAGATATATCGAGTCGAGATATCTGAGGACGAGCGCCCGGGATAGTCTACACGATTGAGCGATAACGGCAGATAACAGCTCTGCCACATTTCATTCTCGAGTCCATATCGCACGCATCGAGTTATCAAAAATACGGCCAGTGACAGACAAATCTTGACAAAGGACGACTGGGATGTCCTCAACTGACCAAGTCCCTCCCGAAGCTGCCCGGTCGCCGTCTTCAGACTATGCTGCATCATCCTACGGTTACGCATCCTCCAACGCTCCAATGTACTCCACGACGGTCACCCCCTTACACCGATGGGCACTCAACGCCTCAGATACCCAGTTCAACGCTGTCGCTGGCGCAGTGGGCGGTTTCACATCAGGTGTCGTGACATGCCCTCTCGACGTCATCAAGACCAAACTACAGGCGCAGGGTGGCTACGCCGCCTTGAATAAGGGACGACATGTCGGTCACCCCAAGTTGTACAATGGTCTCGTTGGTTCAGCAAAGGTCATATGGAGAGAGGAAGGGATCAGAGGCCTCTACCGCGGTCTGGGGCCTATTGTGATGGGTTACTTGCCAACATGGGCTGTGTGGTTTACCGTTTATAACAAGAGCAAGGTGTATATATCACAACATTCTGGTAAGTGCGCTTGGTCTAATGGTGAGGGCGGCATATTGACCTTGTTTTCACCGAACAGACAACAGTCACATAGTCAACTTTTGGTCGTCTATCGTAGCAGGCGCTAGCAGTACAATCGTCACCAACCCGATATGGGTCATCAAAACTCGGCTCATGTCACAGAGCAATATCCGCCACAACACACAAGACCACCACTCTACATACTACCCGAAAGCTGTGGGCACACCAACAGCACGGCCAACACTGCACGACTGGCATTACCGATCAACGCTAGATGCAGCTCGCAAGATGTACACTTCGGAAGGCCTCATTTCATTCTATTCAGGCTTGACACCAGCACTCCTCGGCTTAACACATGTTGCTGTGCAGTTCCCGACCTACGAGTACTTGAAGACCAAGTTTACCGGTCAGGGAATGGGTGAATCGAAGGAGGGAGATGATAAAACTCATGTTTTTGGAATATTGGGGGCCTCTATTCTATCCAAGATCCTTGCCAGTACGGCCACATACCCTCACGAAGTCATCCGAACCCGTCTTCAAACCCAACGGCGCCCACTTGCCGGCGAAGAGTTCGTTCAAGGGATGGGGGTGACCGGTTCAGGCCCCAGGAGTAGGGCCCCCGTGGAGAAGCCCAAGTATCAGGGCGTCGTTCATACCTTTCGAACCATTCTAGCTGAGGAAGGTTGGCGAGCGTTCTATGCTGGTCTTGGTACTAATATGATGCGGGCTGTTCCAGCAGCAACCGTCACAATGCTTACTTACGAATATGTCATGAGGCAATTATACCATACCAGGGCTGAGGCACGCCATCTATTGCTCGAGCCTACCGCGGAATCATAAATGCTTAACAGTCCTCAGTTTGGGGAAACGTCAGAATCACAGGGGTTGAACGATCATGGCGAAGGAATGTACACATGGATTCACGGAGGCATAGGATTAGGAGATGGGGCAAGGCTGAGATACCCTTAGTCGGCTGAAGGCTTAGACAAATTTCTGGTTCACAATGGGACATACGTGGCGAACGTTACGGCGACTTGGTTCCTATCATTTCCATTTTTCATATACACAAAGGAATGTATACAGCAGGCGCATATGGCTGCACAACCCCTTTCTTCTCTTGTTTGAAGGGCAGAGAAAGAAAGCTCGACTTTCCGAGTCGCATTAAGGGGCTGATGAGTCGAGGCATGGCGAAATCGGTGCAGCGCAGGCATTCAAATGGAGTTTGTTTCATGATGTATCTTCGAGAAACTAGACAACAAATCATAAAAAATACAATACGTTCAAATTCATATGCTTTGCAGAATGATTGACGCTCAGGTCTAGTGACAGGGGGCAATCGATTTGCTTCCTATACGCCGATATATGCTACAAGTTACTCTGCTCCAGTATGCTCTCATGATGAGCCACGTCTTGGTGCATGTTCTCCATTCCCTGGTAGTTTTGAGGATTTCTGTCAAATGGTTCTGTCAGTTGATATTAATGAAGCTAAGTGGAAGGACGCACTGCTTGGTCTCGAGCGGAGTGAATAGATGAGCGGGTGTATCTAAAGATCATCAGTTTACTGCTTGTATCAAAAGTCTCTAGATATTTTTCTCCAAGAAAATGTTGGGATATCTTCACTTCTGAAGAACACGCCACTTTCTTTACTCACACGAGCAGAACGCATGCCATAGTGAAGGCAGCTCCTGGGGCCATAAAATTCTGTAGATATTGGTTTAGCACACAAAGTTTCTTCGATTTGCATAAAAAGGACTTACTCGGGGATTCATATTATAAGACTGTGCATTGTACTCTGGAGTTAAAGGTTAATGGTGAACATCTCATCTCATCTCATCTCGTCTTATTGGAAGTAAACGGCGGATGGTTTCGGCAAGTATTCTATTGGTGCGCAGTAAAAGCATAACTTCAATTGATGCATCTCTTCAACCGTCCGTCTTCTCTTTTTCAGCTCCGCAATCGCAGTCTCCACTATCAATCATCTAAGCGAAAAGGGCATGGCCCGTGCGCTGTCCGCTGCCGAGCAGCTTGTGGTCCAAGCTCCCGGAAGCTTGAAAGGGCCTGGAACAGCCTCTATTGGTCCCCAGACGAGACCTCCCAAACCGGGGTGAGGCACCTCATTCGAATGCGACTGCGACGGACGGGCAAAGTCCCATTTCCCCCAAGCGCCCAACCTCATCTTTTGTTTTTGTCTCCTTCATCCGCCTTTTCTTTACGCGTTTTGTACTCTCTGCGCCGTGGTTTTTAATCATAAATTCATCCCCGAGTTTTGCAGAATACAGCATTGCTCTTCATTCGTTGCATTCAGCGCATCGCATCGCATCGCATTATCGCAAACTGCATAAATCCTCTCGCACCATCCATATATCACCATGCCTATGGAACTTCGCAAGCGCAAGGCATCTACTGCCCCTCCCCCTCCTCCTGTCAAGAGAAAGTCCACTACCAAGGTCCCCAAAGCCGCTGCCAAGGTGAAGGAGGCCGCTGCCAAGGTCACAGAGAAGAAGGAAGAGCCTGAGGAGGCTAAGGAGACTAAGGAGGAGGAGAAGACTGAGGAAGTACCCAAGGCTGAGGAACCCAAGGCGGAAGAGCCCAAGAAGACCGGCGGCAAGCCCAAGGTTGGCGATGTTGTGGACCTTGATGGCTTTGGAGGCGAGATAGAGACCAATGATGGTGAAAAGACCACATTGAAGAAGCTTGTTGATGAGAGCAAGTCTGGTGTCGTCCTCTTCACCTACCCCAAGGCATCTACTCCTGGCTGTAAGTTGACAAAGCCTTTTCATCCGAATACTCATCTGACTCTTCCGCAGGCACCAAGCAAGTCTGCTTCTTCCGCGACTCTTATGAGCCTCTCACCAAGGACGGCCTTGCCATCTACGGTCTCAGCGCCGACTCCCCCAAAGCCAACACAACCTTCAAGGAGAAGCAAAAGCTCCCTTATACACTGCTTTGCGACCCCAAGGCAACGCTCATCGAGGCTATCGGTCTCAAGAAGGCTCCCAAGGGAACGACGCGCGGCGTTTTTGTCATTAGCAAGGAGGGCAAGATTCTGGTCGCTGAGGCTGGAAGCCCCCAGGGCACTCTTGACCGTGTTCAGGCACTGGTTGAAGAGCTGGCTAGCAAATAAAGACGAGGCCTCTGATACGCCTAGTATGTTGGTGATTAGTGGGAGCAGTCGGGACTTTGGATACGCTTCGGTTAAAGGGGTTTTGTTTTCGTATCTTGCTGCAAATTAAAAGGGTTCATAGACCAGTAGTGTGACACGGGTGATTACAACAGTTCTCGTCTCCGATTTTGGTTTACATCCGATAATGCCTCTATGATTATTTAGTCCTCGATCACCAAGTCTCCCAGTGGAAATGCCAGCATTGGAGCCTATCCTTGACCATAATTTGACGACACATTTGTTTCTTAACGTTCAATCTTCATAACTTGATGCCATTGGAGCTTGAAGGCAGGCCGTGAGGACTGCATAGGTAGATGACTGTAGGGTCGTTGTTGTCGTGGTAGAAGCCACCAACGACAGCAGTTTACCTTTCATCACCACACACCTTGCTGTAAGAAGGATCCAATTATCAACATAAATAGTAATACTATAAGGTCCATAGTCATTTATGAAACCGAATCCACATATGCGGCAGCACCTTTTGAACGTGTAAGTCTACAGGGTAGTTCACATCTCTCGGTGGAGCCTCGGCTAAACCAACTTGGTCAGCCAATAATCACGACGCCATTTCAATTTGGTATCGATTCCATCACCTGAACCTCAACGACAGCCTTCATCAGCCTACCACCGCCATCATGTCGTCCCAAGCGGCCAAAGCCGCCAGCAACGTGGTCAGCATCGCCAAGGTACGACTAATGAACAAGCCTCCGAACCCCATGGCCTCCCAATGGCCCCTCGACAGCAGCCCCTACGCTCGAATTACCTCTCACATCCATCATGAAAGCCAATACATGACATGCAGCCGCTAACAGGACCTCTGTCGTACAGAAGCAAACCCTCCAGTCGACGGGCATCTGGGAGGCCCTCCGTCGCTTCATGGCCATCGACCCTGAGCGATCCAACGGTGTCCCTCTGAACCCTCACTTCCGAAACCCTCCACCCGGCGCCAACCCTCCTCTCGAGTACGACGACCCCGTTACGCTGCCCGCCGGCGACATCGCCGACAACCCCTACTGGAAGCGCGACAACCGCCGAAACTACCCCCAGCTCAGCGTCGTCAACCAATCCCAGTTCGCCCAGCTCCTCACTGTCGGCAGCGCCGCGGCTCCCAAGGTCGAGCTCATCGGTGAGGCTGGTGAGAAGCAGCTCGTGGCTGTCAAGCAGGAATCCGAGACTGGTTTGGCAAAGGCTCTTGAGAAGGCGACCGATGCGACCAAGGATGTGTTCGTTAATGGTATGCCTCCTCTGCCCAGTGGCCAGACTTTGGCAACTGGAAAGTGGGATGTACACAAGTATGAGGTGACAGAGACATCTTATGGTGAAGGGTACGTTGCGGATGCTGGTAAATTGTCAAGAGGAGATGTGCTGACTGTTACAGATACCCTTGCAGATCATTCAAATAAATTAGAAGCGAAGAGGGTGGTTGTGGATACAAATTATGAGGTAGTGAGGGTATAGAATTTCCATTGACAATGCAGATGATTTTCCTTTTTCAAGTATGAAAGTCTTTGATACCGATGTTCCTGATTTAAGCCTTCATACGCCAAAACAAACTCCGACTCTATTTCCGAAATTCTCAGGCTGCTGGTGATGCTCCTGATGCCTCTCTTCCACCACTGCCAGCCATCTTTTCGACAATCTTGGCCTTTCCTTGTGCCCGTTTCACCCGGTCATCGAAATCTTGAACCGCATCATCCGAGTTCTCCGTCGAAAGTGTATCTGGCTCTACGAGAGCATACAGAGTGTTGATGTTCTTCTCCAGTCTTGCGTTCTTGGGTAGTGGTGGTAATGTGCAAGTCTCTCCTGAGGTAGTACCGCCGTTGTGTGGTATTCGGTTCGCCCATACGATAGCTTTACTGGCAAGACGGCCACTTTCGAGGAACTTCTCAAAGCCCTTTTGCATACCAAAAGATCGCCCTTCAATCCGCCCCGCTTGAACACCGTCTTTGATGCCTTGTTGGTAGCCTTCTGAGTAAAAGCGCTCTTCGAGGTTGAGGACATCCTCGAAGGGATCAGAGGAGTCTATTTGTCTTGTTTCCATGGTATCTGTGTGCGATCTTTGAGTTGTCTTGACTCACTGATTTGTAAGTGAGTTGAGACTGAGTGAGTGAGTGGCAGAATTTGCGTCACCGCCCACTAAATGGCGGGGCAGTTAAACTTATTATAACAGTCTAGAAGGGTTCACTTTCATTGCAACACTATCAATGGCTAACATGAATTTGTATAAGTCGCGTAGAATTTACTACAAAAGATCCCTTGAGAAACACCTAACGTCTATTTTCCTTTACTCCATGATGAAACCCTCTATTGCATACCAAAGATCATACCGCCATTGGCGCAAATGACTTGACCAGTGCACCAAGCACTCTCAGGGCTAGCAAGCATAGCGACAATGCCAGCAATCTCATCAGCTTCACCTGCTCGACCGCCGGCAGTCTTGGCCTCCTCGACGACTTCGGGATCGTCAATGCCTGGACGAGCAGCCATGAGAGGCGCATTCTGGATGAAAGGCTTGATGAGACGCTTGAACTCGTCCGAGTTGCGAGAGTACATCTCAGAGCGGACTGGACCAGGGTTGATGGCGTTGACGGTGGCTCTCTCGCTGAACTCACGGGCCCAAGTTCGTGTCATGGCCTCGAGAGCAGCCTTTGTGCCGCCGTAGACACTCTGGCCAACGAAACCAAGACTTGCGCTTACACTGCTGAGGTTGATGATACGGCCGGAGCGGTCTGTGGGTAGGTAAGGGTGTGCGGCCTGGACAAGGAGAAGAGGGCCAAGAACGTTGACGTTGTAGCTCTTTGTGAAGTCCTCAGGCTTGATGTCAGGGACCTTGTCGTTATAAGCAACACCCGCATTGTTGACGAGGATGTCGATGCGCAGGGGGCTAAATGCATCGGCGGCTTGAGAAATGAGCGAGGCCGGACCTGACACTGTGCCAAGGTCTGCTTGCACCGGAACGACCTTGATAGAATGCTTTGAGGACAGCTCAGAAGCAAGCTTAGCTGTTGAATCAGCAGAGCTGGCGGATGTATAGGCGAGGACGAGGTTTGCGCCTCGGGCAGCCAGGGCCTTGGTAATAGACAGGCCAATGCCTTTTGAAGTCAGCAGAGCTCAATTGATCGTAGACAAGGGAAGAGAACATACCTCGAGAGGCACCAGTGACAATGGCGAGTTTGCCAGTAAGAGGAAGAGCCATGATAGTGATGTGTTAGTCTAGTTGGAGGTGAAGTGAGGCACTATGAGCCGGGTATCAGGACAACAGAAGAACGCAGATCAAATGGGAAAAAGAACACCTGGTCTAGAAGACGGGAACGACAACTGACGATGATCTCCTTATATATTTATGTATCTATGTCCTTAGACCGTTCTTGTCGTGGTCATCTTGCACGTTAGCTTACACAACTGGCACTGCAATTGTCGCGCCAATAGAGACAAAGCACCAACTAATAATCCACCTTCTGCTCGAGTCCCGTGGCGGCCATTGCTTGTCGTTGACAGGTGCGCTTCCACGAGGGGACATTTCTCGGGTGTTACAGTGGAGGGGCAGTCAATAGGTGCCTGGCTTAGCGTTCTAGGTCTTCTGCTTCAGAGCGTCGTAGTGGGGTTGTCCCTCTGCGGCGCGGGGTACTTTACTGCCGACCTCCGGGCTGACTTTTGACCGCAAACTTTGACCCGCCGTGAATTGAGGGGCCGATTCCGCTTGATGAATTGAAGTGGGCTGAAGCTATACCATTCTGTGTCTACATCCAAATACTACCTACGTACATTCTTTTGAGCCTCATCGCCACAGTATCACAAGCAGTCATGGATATCCGCCTCCTCACAAACGCAGACTTGCCCCTCATTCAGCACGCAAACCTCGAGAACCTCCCCGAGAACTACTTCCTCAAGTACTACCTCTACCATGCCCTCTCATGGCCCCAACTGAGCTACGTCGCCGTTGATGTCTCGCGACCCAAGAAGGATCCCTACGAGTACCCCAAGATTGTCGGATATGTCCTCGCTAAGATGGAGGAGGAGCCTTCAGACGGCATTCCACATGGTCACATTACGAGTCTGAGCGTTATGAGAACACACCGAAGACTGGGTATTGCCGAGAAGTTGATGCGCCAAAGTCGTGAGTGTATCGAGATACTGCTCTCAGAGTAGAAACTAAACTATGTAGAACTGGCCATGGTCGAGACATTCCAGGCAAAATACGTCTCCCTCCACGTCCGTGTCTCCAACGCCGCAGCCCGCCACCTCTACGAAAACACCCTCGGCTTCACCAACGAGAAGACCGAGTCCAAATACTACGCCGACGGTGAGGACGCCTTCTGCATGCGTCTAGATCTCGGAGGCATCAAGAAGCAAGTCGACGAGGCCCTTGCAGAGGAAGAGGAAGAAGCCGAGGACGAGGGCGAAGCCGTGGGTGAGGTTGGCCGTGATCCTGAAGCAGGCAAGGACAAGGACAAGAAGAAGATGAAGGTCGCTGTGGGGAGAAGCTTGGGCGTGGGTTCGTTGGTGGAAAAGGATGACTCGAAGCATTAAGGAAAGAAGAATATGAAAAAGGGGGATGTGTGTTCTAATAGACGGGATAGATAAAAAGTTGTGATGTCCGGGTGAAATATGTCATGAGTAGCTGGAAGATAGTTATGATGTCGATGAGTCTACGCTTGGGACACTGTACAACTGAGGAGTGAAAGGTTGGATCTATCAAGAACTACGTTAAAAATGGATCACAAGCACTGCTCTAGGTTTAAGAATTCAAGTAGTGAGAACTAAGACGAAGAATAATTCTAGTAAAAGGACTGTAAGGTCATACAGACTGGACAGCGGTATAGAAGCGAGGTTTGTAGCCCATGTAAATCGGTGTAGCTGGTATGGAGACGGACAGTCGCTTTGATGATAGATACTAATACAAAGTTCAAGAAATAGCTGTCCATAGAAATACATAACAAGTCGAAGGATCATCATTAACCATCAAGTTGTTCAGCCAACTCCCAAGCATAGGCCTCGTCAGCTTCGAGCCTCGTTCTCTCCATCGTTTCCGTAAGAACCTCAATCTCCTTTTCCAGCGCCCTGCGCTCACTCAAAGTTATTTCTTTCGCCTCCAGATCCTTTTGCTTTATTGCAATCTCAGTCTCTATCCCAGAGACAGTGTTGTATTTTGCAGCTGATGCCGCGCCTGGCGGCGGAATACTGCCATCTTTGTTGGCGTCTGCTGGCCATGAACCTGGAGGACCTTCTCCTGAGCGAGATGGCCACTCTCCGCCACCAAAGGAACCGCCTCGACCGGGAGATCCAAACGAACAGTGGTTTGGCCAGCCTCCTTGGAAGCCTCCTCGACTTCTGCCCCAGGGACCTTGACTTTCACAACCACCCCAGCCTCGACCTCTGCCTCGATTATGATGGCCTCGATCTCCTCGGCCGGCTCCTCTACCTGACCATCCCCAGCCACCGAGAGCTGGTGGAGGAACTCTAACGCCTGGGACGTTGACAGGAGGAACGTGAACATTGACTGCAGGAACATGGACGGGAGGAACATGGAAGGGAGGCACCGCAGGAACAGGAGGTGTCTCAACATGGCCTCGACCTCTTTGGCTCCTCCTATGATCTCTGCGAGCAGCCTTCATCTCCCTCTTCTGCTGTCTCCTTTCCCTCTTCTCAGCCTTTTTCTTCTTTTTCAGATCTCTCTTTCGCTCTCTCCGTTCCCTCTTCTGTTGACGCTTCAAAGTCTTCCATTGTTGCGAAAGGGCTTTGCCCTGCACCTTAAGAGCCTTTCGGTCGATATTGGGAGCAATGCCATTTGTGTTCGAGGCTTTAAGTTCAGCTTTCAATTGCTTGACATCAGCCTTGCTGCGCACTTCAAGAGGATTAGCCGTCCATTGTTGTAGACGGGCGATGTAAACGGGCAGCTGCTGGTCCTTGAGATCGTCGTGGTCAGGGAGAGAGCCAATGGACTCTGAGCTAGAAGAGGAATTCGAGGACGAGGAAGAAGATGAAGATGATGACCGAGAGCGGCGTCTTTGGTGATCATGGCTAGCTGCTCGCCCTCGTTGGGGAAAGGTGTGGGCTTCAGGAGGTCCCTGATGCCATGCTGGGTGTCCGGGCATAAAAGGGGGCATGTTGTGAGCATTCGGAGGTGGTGGTTGGGATGGTCCAGGGCCAAAAGGGGCTCCCACAGGCTGGCCGTTCATGCGAATTCCCCTGCTATCCATAACAATGTTTCCTATACGAAGCCCATTGCTATCGGCAACAAATCTGTCTCCCCACCGGACGCTGTCGTTGTCAACTTGGAAGCCGCCCCAAGATCCTGTCCAGCCGCTAGGTCTGCGCTGAGGCATCGCGTCTCTCGGAGAGGACGGCCCAGCCTGTGGTGGGAGTTGCACTGGAGGATCGTCGAATGTGGTCTCCCATCCTCCTGGCATGTGCGATTGCTCCTCGGGCTGAAGCCTTACCATGACATTTCGGGGAGCAAAGAAGCCAGAGTTCCACTGTTGCACGATAGCTTCGACCTCTGCACGCTTTCGACGCAGTTCATTAGGATCAGTTGTTTGTCGTTCAGACTTGACGCTTCCGTCGCCACCAAAAGATGACTTGATATCTGAGCCATCTTCTGATTTGCCCTTTTCACCCAAGATAGCCTCGTTCCGGACAGAATCGTGGTCGGGGAGGAGAAAGTTAACAAAAGTGGCCCAATCTTGGGCTGTGATATCGTATGAAGTCGCCCAATTCTCCGGATAAGGAATATCATCTGGCACAGAGTTTGGCTTCACAGCGATGGTGTGTATCTGAGGCTCCCATTGAGACGCTGATGTTGGGACAGGCCGGGTCTCAAAGTAGAGAGCTACACTGGGAGAGAGGGGGATTTCGTATGTTGTAGGTGTTGTTGCGTTGGCATTAGATTCGGTGCGAGGTGTAAGTGGCGGAGTGAAGATGGGTTCTGTAGTTGAAGTCGACGACATGCGGGAGGCGGTATCATCACCGGGAGCTGCGGGGCCGTGCCCGGAGCCGGCGACGGAGCCAGCATACGGTGAGTGCGGGGGCTGAGAAGAGGTAGAGTAGATATCAGTCTCTGAGTATGGAGGCGGTGGCGCATCGTCAGCTGTTGCTGGGGCCTGACCCGTTGTGAGATATGGGGGATTGTTTCTGCTGGTAGAAGAGTCCATGGCTGGTGATGGAGCTGTCATGATGAGAGGAGGAGATGCGATTATGGAGGGGTATTAATGGGAAGAGAATAGGTGGTAGGTGAGTGCTGATGGTGTGATACAATAGCACACTGATTAATCGACCGTAAGCTTTAAAAGCTTTGTAGATGTGACTGCATCATAGCGTGAGGAGAAGGGTATATCTTTTATTTAATCATTGCCAACGACCCTCAGCTATCACCTCACATCATGGCCAAAGAGGAAACGCTTTCAACCTCCGTCCGGTCTGATCAAATCACCGAACTCCATGCGAAAATGCCCTACAGCGAGAGCCTTACAGGGGGTTACGCAACTCGCATTCGCAGCCCTATGACTCCCAAGGATCCCCTGCGTCCAATGGCCGAGCTGGTGCTTACGCGGCCGAGCGAGGGAGCCTAGACTAACTGACAGTTGTGGTGCCGCATTCCCGGCCTCTGATCACTCTGGCAATACTCTAAACTTATGCTTGACTTGACTTGGGCCGTCGCGTCGTCATTGCTTTCATACACCGCACACGACTCGATACGATGCATACGGTTGCGGCGTAATCTGGTAATTTGTTTGTGTGAGGCTGATTTCAACCCAATATGGTTGAAATTTTAAAAACGCTGGTGATATGTGCTATCAAGCAAATTCTATGGTACCTTCACTCCTTGACTGGATTGGATAATGGAAACCCTGTCTCGCTCAACGCCGAGAAATGAATGAATGCAAGGCACAACTTTTGCGACGTTTTCTTGTCCTTTGGTTTCGATATTCCTCCTTTACTCATCTTGAAAAAAGTCGACGTCCTCCGTCTTGTAATGATCTGCGATGAGACTGGACAAATGATCTCTTGAGTGTGTTCCCCTGAAAAGAAAATTAGTTGTTTGCCTTGCACAACGGCATCTTTACTTACAAGTTGGTGATGTATATGTCGATCAGCTCTGGAGGGACCATCTCATTGAGGGCAGTCCGAACCTCGACACTGTTCACCATGTTCCCATCTGCAAAGTTGACAAAGCTGGCAGAGTCTCCCCACTCAATC